GCATGGCCGAGTGTCGTGAAACGCGTGCAGTTGTGTTGGTAACGGACCACGGTAGTGCTGAAATAATGTAGCTTTTGGCTGCTGTAGTTGCACGTAATCACATCGTAACCACCTGCGTCTTTGCCTTGATACCGTGAGCGGTGCTCCCGGTAGAAATAACTGCAGCGGTGTTGGAAAAAGAAACTGCGACTCAGTAGCTCTTTGTACGCGTAGAGTTTTTGCTGAATGCATGGTTGTTGAGCTTTTCTGAATTTATTTCGGGCATGTGCAAGTTCTGCCACAAGTAAATTTAAAGTTACAGGCTTTCTGCAAGTCTTAAACCGGGTTTGAAATGCCTTTGATAGTGTATTTTCCTCACGAGCTAATATGATTTTGGTGTGTACTGCACAGCACTGATGTGACCTTGCTTTATGATTGTGTGTTCAGTGTACATAGAAACACGCTGTGTGTGTGTAGAGAGAGGGTAAGCTGGTGGAAAATTGCGTACAGCTTAGGATGTGTTTTTTTCTCCCATCTCCATGTATCTGACTTTCAATAGAGGTTTATATTTCTGTTACATTTTTATATATGAACATGAAAAAGCTTTTTTTGGGATGGCTTTTTGTATAGCTGGGACTGAAGATGTGCTCCATTGAAAAAGCAGGGCAACATTCTGAAAATAGAAATGATGAAGCTGATTTTGAACAGCTAGCTCACGTTGTGTTGTAGACTCTGTACATAGTCCTGGCTGAGTGAGTGTGTGGGGAAGTGTTTCCTCAAAGTAAAACTGAAAACCAGATCTTGTAACTTCACAGGTCTCAGACCTGTGCAGAACACTTTGGGGTTTTTTTTTCTCCAGTTTAACTTTTACATGAAGTTTTAAAGCGTGAAGTTTAAAGGGTGGAAGTAGATCCCTCATATTGCGTAGATGTCAAGAACATTTATCATGGAGTGTAGATTGCCTGCCTCCTGAGTTCTGAGGTTGTCTCCCATATGCATGTGGCGGCTGGTTTGCACAGAGGAGTGTTTCCTCCTACACTACTCCAGTCCTCACAAAATAAATGCGGCTTGTTGAGTACTCAGTTCACTTAAAACTCGTGAGTTTGAGTTAGTTCCTTGGAAAGAGCGATGATTGTTTTTGAGTAGCTAGCTCCCAGCGATGGTGATTCACTCTTGTATCTGGCTCCCACCAACTAAGCATTTGATACAAGAATCAATTGTTTTTTGTCAGTGTTTTATTCCATACATAATAAGCATCAAAACACAAACGTGTGAATGCGGGAGTGGCATTCTTGTGAGTTACCAGAAGCACTTACCTTAAGTTTTCACATTGACAAATGCACAGGCTGTTTGAAACATGAAGGTGTTCATGATCTTTTGTTAGTGTTGACATGATACTTAACCTGTGAGGTAGAAACACAAAAGTGGAATTGTGTATATGCAGATACAGGTAACTTTTTTAGTTCCTGAAACAATGATTAGGCTAATGGTAGCAGTACAAATGTTTTCTTATTTGACTGAAATTATTTCTGTAATTTAGAAGATGGAGGTAGCTAAGGTTGCCTGATGCTTCACATTCATCCATTTAATCTTAGCTGCATGGCCTTTTGGGGAGTAAGTTTGTCTGGTTTTCCCCAAAGCTTATCCGTCTGAACTATTTTTTCCCCTTCAGTTCTTTGTCTTTGCCTTAGACGAGCATTTAGAAGTTCTTGGGGTTGGGGCAGGGGCAGCAAAGAAATCAAACTTAGTCTTTAATGTTTATGTTTTTTTCTTTTCACTTTCTTTCCCTCTTTTCATTTTTGAGAAGTTTGGACCTCTGGGAACTCTTTCTTTCTGGCAAGAGCAAACGACTTCTGCCTTTGGGTCAGCGATGTGCCATTTGCTCTTCTGGAAACTTCTGCACGTTTTGCCAAGTGCTGTTTGCTAAGCAAATGATCTGAAGAGTTGAGCCGATATCAGAACAGAGAGCACTTTGAAATATCAAGCAAAGCAAGGAGTAAGCGAGGAGTCCTGTTGTGGCAAAGCATTATATGCAAATGCAGTTTAAAGGTGTCATAGCCCCCGTGCCTAAAAGGCCGAAATTACATACATGCAGGCAGCCTTGGTTTGGTATATCCTAGTTGTGCTCGATTATATAGGACCGATTACCTTTAAAGATTTTAATGTGAAGAGCTGTAACAAAAAGGATTTCTCATGAGACTTAATTACTTTCTTAGACTGTATTTGAATAATTTTAACTGTATTTTCCTTTTTTCCAGAATGGTGAACACGCGTAGATGATCCTAATCAGAACTGTGTAGGATTTGCATTTGGTTTGAGAGCTTGTAAGATTGCTCATCATGGAGAAACAGCAGATTGTCTTGGGTAGCCGGGATGGTGGGACTGTGTCTGGTGCAGCGCCTGCTTTTTTTGTCATCTTGAAACAACAGCAGGGAAACGGTAAAGCTGACCAAGGAATCCTAGTAGCAGACCGCGATGCTTGTGCTCTCGCCAGCAGTGTGTCGACTCCAGTAAAATCCAAAGTCAAGACCTGCCTCCCAGCTGACTGTGTCTCAGGGGGCATTACTGTCACCCTGGATAACAACAGTATGTGGAATGAATTCTACCATCGCAACACAGAGATGATTCTGACGAAGCAGGGGAGGCGCATGTTCCCGTACTGCCGGTACTGGATTACAGGTCTGGATGTCAGTCAGAAGTACATCCTAGTCATGGACATATCCCCTGTGGACAATCACCGATACAAATGGAACGGCCGTTGGTGGGAGCCCAGCGGGAAGGCAGAACCGCACGTTCTTGGTCGAGTGTTCATTCATCCAGAATCACCTTCCACTGGCCAATATTGGATGCACCAGCCAGTATCCTTCTACAAACTCAAACTTACTAACAATACACTGGACCAGGAAGGTCATATAATCTTACATTCTATGCACCGTTACCTGCCACGACTTCACTTGGTGCCTGCAGACAAAGCCACAGAAGTAATTCAGCTCAATGGCCCCGATGTCCATACGTTTACCTTTCCACAGACAGAGTTCTTCGCAGTTACAGCCTACCAGAACATCCAGATTACCCAGCTGAAAATAGATTACAATCCTTTTGCTAAAGGGTTCAGAGATGATGGGTTGAATAGTCGACCTCAGCGCGATGTGAAACAAAACAATAACTTGGAATTGGAAGCAGGTGATGTTTTTAGCGCTGCTGGCATTTGTGGTCGCCCTGCTGGGGTTGATGGATTGAATTTGCATCAGAGAAGTTTAGATTCTTCATTCATTGGTCAAAACCCATCAGACATGGATCTGGAAAAAGAGTCCTTTAATGCAGAAAGGGACTTCCTGGGTTTCCTGGACACTGACCTGCCTTCAGGTGATATGCCAAAGCTAAAACAAGAAGTCTCTGAGAGGTGGGTTAATGTTCATTTTTTGTACTGTTTGAGTGGGATATTTGGTAAAACATCAAATAATGGGATGCTCAGTGTACGTTTAGATTTACAGCTGAAGCTTGCCTGACCTGAAATGGCAGAACACTTAATATTATTACAAGCTTTTCTTTGCTTAAACAGTCGTGTACTAGTCTGGACTTTCTAAAGTGTCTGAGGAGTGTAAGTGTTCAATATTTTTTCCTGTGTTGCTTTGACTCTCTTTGTAAAGAAGTGTTGAGGGATTTCTCTACCCTCTTAGCATTTCAGAAGACTAAACTTAATTTTTCAGTGTTTTAAACAGAGCACATTGCAGTCATCAGAACGTTGCCTTTCTTTTTAGAGTTGCTTACCACAGCGATGTGCTGTCTCTGTATCTTCAGTTTTCATTAGTGGATGGGTGAGGATGTGTGGTGCGTGTGGGTATTTGGGTTGGGTATGTGCAGGGATTGCTACAAGGCAACTGTAACAGGCAGCGTGCCATTGTTTTGTCAATAAATGCTTGTGTGAATTTTTCTGTTCCACAGAGTAGTATGAGGTAGCCTGCCTGTTGATAGTCAGTTGCTTCATGTTTGCTGTGAGGTAAGAGAAGCTGCACCTAGGAAAGTGCTTCAGAATAACTGATACCCTGTTCAGACCTTCATTTACTCTGTGGTGATTTTATGTCTGGATGTTTATCCAGTGCTGAGTTTTTTGAACCATTCTATTCATATCACACAAACAGTAGTAAAGCAATCTAGCGTGTATTGAGAGCGTACTCATAGCGTGAAACCTGCTAACCGCCAAGTGCTCATGTTAGTAGAGCAAGCCTGGTGAAACCTATTATTTTACTGCACTTTCACTTAGTTTCCAAAATCAAAGCAATAGAATAGAGCAGATGGAGTGAATAGTTAATCTGTGTCAAGAGGTGCTAGACATACTTTGAACCTGAAGAAGTGATTTTTTTGAAAAAAAGAAGGTTTATCTCCTGCCATGTTTCTTCATGTCTGTCTGTGAATACCAGACTTAGTCTGACAAAGACTTAGTGACAAAAGCAGCGCTATGTAGATCACTACACCAAGAAATTCTTTGACTGCAGAGTACCAGGATGATGTTAATGATGTAATTGGAGGTGAGTTCTTAGGAGGTAAGAAGTTGTGTTCATGACATAATTACACAGTTTGTTTCAAAGGCTGTATTACTATCCTACTTCAGTGTGTTTTAGAGAGGACAGAATTTTGCTCAGTTGTTTAGGGTCTTTTTTTCCCCTTGCAGAAAGCATGTCCTTGCCTTTCGAGTGAGTGAAAAAGTTCGAATCACAAAGTTATCCATTCTTTGAGACTTCATTGAGTGTAATTGTAATAATTCTTAAGAATACTAGAATTGCTTTGGGATCTCGAGTGTCCTAACCTTTCTTCTGCAGTATTTGTCAGTGTCAGTTTATTAGGAAGAAGAATGTCTTCTAGACTGGGTTACATTCTCCAGTAATGTTGCTGTACATACTAGAGAAACACATCTTGAAGACTGAAAGTACTCTGAATTCAGAGAGAATGGGCTTTCTTTAGCTCCTAAGAATACAGCATGGAGAAGTGTTTAGATAACTTTGCATATTGGAAGTAAAACTCTGAAAATAATTACAAAAAGGTTTATTTTGTCTCCACAGTGATTTTTTCTTTTTCCTTTTTTCCTCCTTGGTGTCAGCTGAAGTTGGAAAAGTTAAAATTTTGATCATTTTGTTTACCTGAAGGGGTCATTGAAGCAAATTATTTGGAGAACTGTTTGAATTGGATAGCTTGGGGTTTTTTTGTTCGCTTCTTTCCCAAGGAATAACATCCATCAGTTTTAAGGACTCAAGGACATTGCCTTAGGAACAGATGATGTAAATCAGCAGACTTAATTTCTCTTGGTCCAGAGCATGTTACACACCTTCCCTCGTTTGACTTCCAAGACAATTTATCTGTGAAATGTGCTAAAAGCTTCACAGACTGGGGAAGACTCTGAAGGGGTTTTCTCTGTTCTGGGCTAGGAAGCATCTATCATTTAATGAATCAATGTTACCACAGTCCTAGAACTGCCCTCAAGCATTGTTCAGCTCTTCGTTTTATGTTTTTGTAATCTATCTGAAAAAGTCAGATTCTGTACTTGGAAAGAGAAAAATTGAGGTCATACAAGAAATGGCAGAACTGTCTTTTTATGTGCTGGAGTTTTTCAGAACATTAGTTCCCCTGCCTTCAGATCTGTTGATGATGTTTTCATGATGTGCAGTTGAGATCCCTTCATAAATACATCAGCCTTTCAAGGACAGTGTTGAGTGAGTGGTGTTTTATCAAACTAGACACATTAATATTTACATATTAATATTTACATATTAATGAGGGCTGGACAAATTTTTTTTGTCATAGGCAAGTCATTACTAGTAGTTGATAGGCACTATCTTGCTTTTATGCAGGGTAGTGATTTGTGCTGAGTTTAGATTTGGGTGAGAGTCAGAAGTTGGGAACTGCTTTCTCCCGGATAACGCTCTCCAAAGGAAGTGGAGTTCCCAGTGCTATAGTGTGTGATATTTCCCACTAGTGCTCAATTTGTGTGACATTTTTGCAAATGGAACTATGTAAAAGTCTGTGCATACCTGAGAATAACTTTAATCTTGAGTTATTAGCGTGCTTTGGAAATAAAGAGGGTTTTCTTTATGCAAGGTGGTAGGTTGTTTTTTTTTCTGTCACTTGGTAGTATATTTTAGTTTCATCAGGTGTATTGTAAAGAAAATAAATGTTTAATTTGAGGTGTGGACATTTCTATAGGAATGCTTATGCCTGGAACCACTCAGATGTTGGGGGCATGGAGGGAACCACAAGCAAACTTTACTGGTTCTTAAGTCTTACAGGCTAATGTACTCTTTCTCCCTTCCAAGTTCTTTTGAATTTCCTGCTTCAAAAATACAAATACAGTGGGATTTTTAATGCCTCAGTGGTCTTGTTTTTGTAATTTAGTTGTCTTGTGTTTAGTCTGACTGTTTACCTTTCTTCCCTCCTTGCCTTCTTTTGGAAGAGATAGGCAAGTGATCATCCTTCAAACATCAGCCACAGATTGCTAGATTAATTCCAGAAGAAATTAGTTTGGGTTTTTTTCCCCCCATGGTGTATTTTAAAATGATCTACATAAAAAAGAAAAAAGATCCGTATAGGTCAGTACTTTCAGTAACTGAGCAGCTACATTTTAATTTGTCAAAATGCAAGAAGACAATTTCTCTGCTTTTACTGGTTTATTGCGAGGATACTAAATACATTACTTGAGGCATAAAGAAGTTTGCTTCAGTATGAGCATTGTTCCATGTCGGGCAAAGAAAGAGCTGGTTAAGACATTTTGCCATTTTTACCTGATCTCAGATTAAGCCGAGGATTTTGAGAGGACAAACTTGCATGATTCATCTTCCCATAGTATATAAGAAGAGAAGTTTCTGTGACTGCTTATGTTGCACGTAACTTCACAAACTTAACTAAGGCCAAATGAAATTATTTCAGTGCTAAAAAGCAACTTTTTTATTCTTTGAAAAGTTGATAATTGCACATGAATTAAAAAAACTCGAAAAATGCGGCCCAGCATTTTGTGCAAATACTTGATCTTCTCATACATACACATAGATGGATGATACCTCAGTCTTGTCCCCATCTGGCTTACGGTTGCAATATGCAGAGTAAAGTAATATTTGTGTCTAGAACCTTCAGTTTTACAGCTGGGCTTTGTTTTGTATACTGTCCAGATCACCAATAGAAAGGTAATCCTTAGCTTGAGTATACATCTTGCAATCGGTAAAGGAAAATGTCTGGAGAAGTCCAGGCTTTACTGGGCTTGCAACTGGAAACAGTAGAACTCGGATGAGAAATGAATCCTGGCCAGTGAATTTATTAGGGTTTTCTGCCTCTTTATTTTAGAGACTTCTAAGAAAGAGGAGCAGATGACTCGACTGTTCTTAATAGCATTCACTTTAATTGTGGATCTGCTGTAATGAATCAACATCTAGCTGTAATGTGACAGGATATTTAGTTGCCCATAACCTATGTGGACTGTCTTAGAATTTCTTTCACAGTAAACTTGCTTAAAAAGAAAGGCTTTTTACTCTTTATATTTGACGTTCTTACTAAATGAAAGCTAAAAACATTTTGATAGGAAACTCATTGGATAGAGAAGAAAGGAGACAAAATAGGACTGGTGTGCCACTCTTCTCTTGCCTCACAAAGCCGGGTTTTTGCGTCAGGCTTACTTCTGGTTACTTAGGTTCTTCTGAATTGCAACAGGTTTTCTAGGTGGGTTCCATCTTGTGCTTAGGAATTTTATGTATAAATCTGTAAATCTGTGTCTTGACTGTCTGCTCCCTGTTTTAAGACTGCAGTCTTTCTTCATGAGGTGGAGACTCCCAGCTCCATGTTGTGACTCTGGTGCATCCCAGCTTTTTTTCCTTAAGTGTCTCCTCAGTCTGCATGGGCAGAAACAACCTCTTCCTCTACATCTTCTCCTTCCTCAGTCCCAGCCTGGGACTGGCATAATCATTCTTTAAAGGGGTGGTGGTGGATAATAAAATACAGATGCACACACTTATATGCACAATAATGAAGGCAATATTCCCTTTATATGTAATAACTTAATAACAGTATATCATAGAATGATTTGAGTTGGAAAGCACCTTAAAGATCACCTAGTTCCAACCCCCGTGCCATGAGCAGGGACACCTTCCACCAGACCAGGTTGCTCAAAGCCCCATCCAACCTGGCCTTGAGCACTGCCAGGGAGGGGGCATCCACAGCTTCTCTGGACAACCTGTGCCAGTGCCTCACCACCCTCATTGTAAAAAAATTTCTTGCTTATATCTCATCTAAATCTACCCTCTTTCAGCTTGAAGCCATTACCCCTTATCCTATCACTACATGCCTTTGTAAAAAGTCCTTCTCCAGCTTTCTTGTCAGCCCCCTTCAGGGACTAGAAACCTGCTATAAGGTCTCCCTGGAGCCTTCTCTTCTCCAGGCTGAACAGCCCCAACTGTCTCAGCCTTTCTTCGTAGGAGAGGTGCTCCAGCCCTTTGACCATTTTTCCATTGGCCTGCTGGCCACGCTGCTTGTGATGCAGCCCAGGATATGGTTGGCCTTCTGGGCTGCAAGCGCACATTGCTGGGTCGTGTTGAGCTTCTGGTCAAACAGCACCCCACCCAAGTCCTTCTCCTCAGGGCTGCTCTGAGTCCATTCTCCATCCAGCCTGTACTTGTGCTTGGGCACATATTTGAAATTATGTTAGCATTAACTAACATTAAAAAATATTGTTATTCTTAGTAACATTTTAATAACTTAAGCTTAACAGAATTTGAGTAATAATTTAACATAATTTAAATTATATATAGTGTTTTATAAAATATGTAAAGGGAGTATTGGAATACTGTCTGATATGTTTAGTAAGTTCTGACTACTGTTTTCTGAGGTTCATTGTGGGTATGAGTTTCTGGTTTCCTATCTTTCCTCTTATGACGAGGGGCCAACTTCTGATGCACTTAACAACTGCTGACTGCAATTTTTTGACTGATGTGTCTGTTCCTCAAGCCCATCATCGGAGTGTGGCTGGTGACACTGTTAGTCTTCGGTATTCAATGCGTGATGTGTAAAATTCTGGTTAGGTTAATACTCAGGTTTAGTGGAAGATGGAGCATAGTTCAACAGGATGTTAACATTCTGTAAGCATTAGAACAACGACTGAATTTAGGAATTGTCTGTATGTGGCTTCAGGATGAATTAACGGAAATTTTAGTTAAATCGTGTGAATTGAAAGGCATTAGGCACTCACTTGGCTTCTTATTTGCAAGCACGGTGGCTTTAGTCAGGTGATGTAATGAGATACACAGCAAACTAAAGCCACTTCTGAACATTTAAAAGGTGATAGCTTAGCATGAGTTCATGCCAAGTCTCAAATAGGAAAAAGTGTAAATGTCACCCTGATACTACTAGGGAAGGAAATTGTGCTGCTGCCTTCAGATAAGAAGTTGGATTGTTTTTAAAGATGGCAAATTTTTTTTTTTTCAGTGCCTACTTTTAAAAATCTAAGCTTGTAAATGACAGTTTATTTAGCAGACTCATGTCTCAAAGCATTTCGGAATTTTTTTATAGTATGTAACTAAGGATTATGGGAGGTGATGGGATTTCGGTAAAGGAAGAGATTTGGTAAAGATCTTGTGTTGTGTTTTGTTTTTGTCCCTTCTCTCCCACCCCAGTCCCATTGCTAGCAGTTACGAAAGCAGTTCCCGTGTGGCATCCCCATTGGACCCAAATGGACACTTTAATGTAGTCATTAAAGAGGAACCAGTAGATGACTATGACTATGAGTCAAATATTTGCACACAGGGAATAAGTGTGAAACAGGAAGACACAGATGAAGAAACTGATGAGTATTCCAACACTGATGATGATGATCCTGTCCTACAAAAACACATGATGAGACACGGTGAAACGGATGGAATTGATGGAGAATTCAGATCTAGGAAGCGTGTGCTAACCAGTCCTTCAGGTGTTGCCAAAGCAAAAATGTTAAAACTGGATAGTGGGAAGATGCCTGTGGTCTATTTGGAACCTTGTGCAGTCACAAAGAGTACAGTGAAGATATCTGAGCTGCCACAGACCATGCTGTCCTCTTGCAAGAAGGAGAAATCCCCTTTAAGTGCAGTACTGGATTCCTTGCCTGTGTGTTTCGAAAATCACAAAGGCTCTTGCTCAGGCACAGCCACTGTAACTGAGGAGGTGGTTATCAAAAAACAATCTCCTGGGAGTAAAATGTCACAGAAATATGCTTCAATCAGAGAGGCCCAGTGGGCTCTGTCTAAATCACCTAATTTTAATCTCAGGGGCTCAGTAAGTTGTCACTTTTCAACTAAAGAGATCTGTGGAAGAAAAAGGCCTGGCATGCTGAAGAATCCCTTGTCCCTGAAAGGTGCTGGTAGCAATCAAAACGCCCTGTCATCAGTTACAACTAAAAGAGGAAGGCCACGGAAACTGAAAATTTCAAAGGCTGGTCGACCACCTAAAGCTATAGGGAAATCTGTAATAACAAGTAAGAACACCTCTTTGGGGCCTGGGGGTATCCTTCCAGATGTTAAGCCGGACCTTGAAGATGTTGATGGAGTCCTCTTTGTGTCCTTTGCATCAAAGGTAAAACCTAACTGTTTTGAGTAAAATTCAAAACCTTTTCCAATGTCTCATTTTTAAGCCCTTTATACTAATAAGCTGGAGGTATATTTTCTTTCAAACTGAGTTTTGAGGTTTATGACCTCTTCCCAAATCTGTTGTCTTGTTCCTATGTTAATCGTAACATTTCCTTACTTATTAGCTATTTGGGGAGACATAGAGGGTTCTGGAGTTCTGTATAAAAGAATGCATGCTTGTTTATTAAACAGTCTCATGTTTTGAATGTTTCAGTGATATTTTGATGTGGCCTAGTTTGCATCTAAGTCAGTGTTTTAAGGTATCTTATTGGAGGCTCTTTATGTATGTAGGAAGCTCTTGACATTCACACTGTTGATAGAGCTGGAGGAGAAGAGTCACAGAATCTTCAGGCTCCCTTGTTGACTACAAATGATCCAGGTACATTTGTGTGTGGTTTTTTTTTTTGTAAGTGGCTATTCGCTAGAATAAGGGAATTTGTAAAGACACACTGGAAAATTGATCATTTTAATCAATTTTTTGCGTAGTAAATGTTTTTTGTATGGTCTCTTTATTTTTTGAGTAGATTGTCAAGCAAGAATACAAGTGTTGGAAAAGGAATTGATGGAAGAGCTGAAGACCTTGAGGCATAAGCAAGTAATACATCCTAGCCTTCAGGAAGGTAAGCAAGGCAGTCTAAATCTTGTTGCACCTGGCTGTATATTAATCATACTGAGTTGATAATTTCCTACTGGATGTAGTACTGTGTATGCACAGTACAGCTGGAATCTGATTTTGGTTATTTTTTTTCAAATGCAGGAAAGCATACAGGGGTGTGTGTGTACAAATGTGGGGGTAGGAAAGGAAAATTGTGTGAAACTGTCTATTTCCCTCGTGACAATGAGAGAGAATCTGTGGTGTCTGACCCAGGTTTTTGTCTTAAAAGCTTTGAAAGTACTTTCAGGCAGCCAATAAAGGTAGTGTTTTTTTCACACATCCGTGTTGCAAACTAGAAGAGGTGGAGGCGGCAGAAGATGAATCCTGAATCTCCCAACAGCAGAGCAGGAGGCTGCATGTCATTGTGTGCCTCTTGCAGAAGATGCTGAGCCGAATTTCAGGCTTCGGGCCATGCCTGTTTTGTAATGAGCTAGTCCTCGTAGAGAGGAGATGGAGTACATTTTACTCCTGCATAGAAGATAGGCATTTCCTGGTAGTAAAGGAGCTAGATATCCAGAAACACTTAACAAAGACTACATTTCCTGTGTTGGAGTCTGTATTTCTTTGAGTCACTGTAGATCCAGGTTCACTAGCCACGTAAGAGGGCCAGGCAAGGTACTTCTAGCTTGTGATCTTTCATTTACGTACACTATTATCCTGAGGTCAGATGTAAGAAAGTCAGGGACCAACACGGCAGAACGTAACGTTCTGTCTACTGATGATGTTGAGAGTCTTCAGCAATAGTAGTCCTGAGACCGATAGCGTTAACATAGGTATCAGAGCAGATGATGAAGTTGATCCAAATGGAAGCATCATACGTCATGCTCTTGAGGTTCTGGACCCGAATTTTTCAAACATCTAACTGTAATGTTGTAGGGACGGAGACTCCAAATACTGACGTTGACTCTGATGCTAGTTACTTTGGGTTGTCAGAGAGCTTCTGCTGTGAAGAATCCTGAATTATCTTAAATGGTTTATGCACAGAGTATGATGAGAACTAGCCTGGCATTTTTTGCAGTCATTTAAAGGGATGCCTTTGCATCTTGCTAGTGTTGAGCCGACATTCCTGTCTTCCACCTTTGCAAAGCAGTCGTAAGAAGGCTGGTAGAGAGCTCTTAAAGCTCTGTACTGGATGTGGTGGGAATGAAAGAAGATATCCTATCTCTGGCCACATTGTACCTCAGTCGTGTACCATCAGGCGTAACAGTTGTATCATGGATGTCTGAATGCAGTTCTCCCCTCCCATGCGTCCAGAAATGGGCAGACCTGTTTTCTAATGACCTCACTGGCCAACCGACCCTCACAGGTCTGCGTGTGTTAATCCTATTTCAAGAACGGTGGTAAAATCGGTTTTGTGGTTGGCTGCTGGCAATGCTAGATACAGCACTAAGCAAATGTTACAGCAACATTAAAGCTTTGGGGATTATATTGTGGGCCTCCTAGATGTTATCTTTACCCAAGATAAGTGTAATAAAATTACAGCATGTTGGTAACTACAACACTAGCCTCATGAGGTGATCCTGAAACTGGTGTAAAACCCACGTGCTTTTCCTCTGCTTTCTAAATGAACGGTGGTGAAGTGTGTCGTACCATCTGAAGGGTGTTGAGCAGTTCACAGATACTACAAAATGGACAAGAGAAGTCAAGCATCAGGCTAAGAAAAAAAGATCTGAAGAATTTTTACTTTCTTGAATGCTTGTGACCGTCATTTTCAGTGTTGGATGGTAATCTGCTGAGCCTTTTAAATGGTGACATTGTAATTCAGCAGTGAAGAGATTGACCCTCACCTGTCTAATTTTTAGAGGGAAAAGAAGTTGTGTGAAGACTATTTGCAGCAAGAGTATTGCCACAGACAGATACAGATGTAATTTGATCAGGCTCTGAAGTGAATTACAATACATATACTTCTGTTGTTAGACTTCAGCTGCTGGAACTGGAATCAGTCTTTGTTCAGATTACCTTCAACTTCCAATAAGTTACAGATCTATCGCCTTCCATTGCAGACTTGAGGTCGGGGAAGGACCGCGATGATGTTAATGGAGAGCTGGTTGTTGGGTTTTTTATCTTCTTTTACCGCCCCCCCCTTGTGGTGGCTTGGTGGAGCCGCATTAGCTTTCCTGATTCTGATACTTGTTCTCCAGAATTTCTCGGCCGCAGATCATAACTAATACCTCCTTGTAATCTCCTACAGAACAGCCAGAGATGTTGTTCTCTTCTGTCTGGAAGATATGAAATGCATGTTTCTGAATGTGCTTTCAGCCATTTTGTAGAAGCTTACTGACTTTCTTGTCCTCACTACAGTATGGGAAATGGACATAGCAATTTTGATGTTAACTCTGATTTTGGTTTTAGACAATGTAGTTGAGAAGCTTAACTTTCTTCTTGAGAGTCACAGATGTGTTGGAGCTGTACCTGAACCCCACAATTGCTGTTGATTTGCAAAGTTAAGAAAATTGTGATTGAGACTATCTGGATCTTAGAGACACCAGGAGTGCAGGAAGAAGATGCTTCAGAAAGAAGGGAATTCAATTTAAGCATGTTAGAAGGAAAGCTCCTGCTGGAGTACTGGAGTGCTATGGAATGCCTCTTCTATCTGAGCTAATTTGAATCTCTAATTATATTCCCCAAAATCAAAAGCACTGTTGTCAGGCATCGTATTTCACATTTAGCAGCTGCATCTGATGTGGAGAGGAGAAAGTTCTGAAGGAGTTGATTCTTCATTTGCCAATATTTGATTATGGCAACTGAAACTTGGCAATACTGGGGATGATAGAAACTAATAAAAATGATAGTTCATGTGTCACGTGTGGTAATGTCTGTACTGACATACATGTACTATTACCATTTGTTCTTTAGGCTGGCTGTGTTCATTCCGTGTTGCAGTAATTGGAGTCATCTTCTGTGTGTGTGTTGTTGTGTTTTTTTTTTTGTCTGGGTGCTTTTCACTTCATGATCCTAAACTGAAATAATCAATTTTGTGTATGGGTGATGTTCTTATTTTTGTTTGAGTGTTAAATAAAGCTGGGCTTTTGAAGATGACAGAATAATTCAAATGGAGTGTCAAGAAGAAGAAAGTGCATACTCTTTCCATTTTATTTTCAGCCGAGTTCGAAAAGAAATGGATGGCACCCTGACATTTGGCAGTTGACATGTTTTTATACAAAATGCTTGACTGACTTGCTGTTTCACTATGTAGATTTGAATTGAAATCTATATCTCACTAGACTGTCCTTGAAAACAGTATCTGTTTAAACAACCATGTCTGTCATGTTGATTGTTTTTGGGCTGCCACTAATAAGGTCACTGTGTTGCCACTTATGAACATAAATGTGTACCACCAACGCAAGGTTTCTGTGGTATGTGCAAATACTACTTCATGTGTCCTGAGCCTTGTCAAGTCATACATCTTCAATTTCAAAACTCACATATTTAACATATGAATTTCAGACTTGCTGTCAACAGGAGCAGCATTTGTGGGTTTCTATAGCTAAAAGCCAAATTAGATGTCCTCAACTCCAGACTGTGAGCTGAGTTTGATTGACAACAGTAATTTCTTGAATTTAGTATAACAGTATTTTCTAACAAAAGGTACTAAGTCAAATTTACTATCTTCTTTTTTTTCCTCAGCATTTCTGTATCTATATTTGTTTTGCCATAGATAAAAATACATTTTGTGGCCAAGTGAAGTCTTTTGGTTTGAGTATTTTGGGGGAGTTGACGAAGGAAGATGTTATAGGCAGTTAAACATTTGTGATGGCATCAACAACATGGATTGTTTATTTCCTCTGCTTCAAAAAAAAAGGTTTTATTGCAAACTGCCAAGCCTGGGAAAAAATAACCTGCTGAGATCATTTGATAAACTAGGCCTGAGAACGCTGTTTGAATACAACTTCGTTTATATCATCATTTTTCTAACACACACTTCTTCAGAACTAACGTGGTTTGCTGTTGTCTCTTATTGCTGGTTGAAACTGAAGTGTGTGGTGTATGTTCTTGCACAAGAATAGGTTTCAGTAGAGAAAAGGATGTGTAGGTACCACTGGCAAAATTGATAATTTATGTGGTGATATGAAATGTCAAATAGTCAGCAGTGTTGGTTCAGGCAGTAACTCTAGTCTTCAAGGATGTAAGCAGTGCTAATTTCTTTAAAAAACAAACAGAAAATTTTATTGTGAGAATTATTGCAACACTGCCACTTGGGTTAATAAATTTCTGTGGAAACTTCAGTAGTAATCAAGAAAACTTATGAAAAGTAATTCCATTTTTTCTTTTAATTTCGCGTTCCCTAAAATACTTTTTAATTCATACCTGCTGCAAATCCAGTATAAGTAACAGTTACAGTCGCTAGTGCTCTTTTTCAGGTCTCTTAAAATGGTGGCTGAATGCTGGAAAAGCCTATATATAACTTACTGGCTTATTTTTTAGTAAATATCTTGACTTTTGTTTTCCTAACATCTTGCTGCATTGAGACATTTACTGATACTTGTCTCTTGTAGTGGGACTGAAGTTGAATTCTGTGGACCCAACAATGAGCATTGACTTGAAATACTTGGGTGTGCAGCTTCCTCTTTCCTACTCAAATTACTCTTTCTGGAGCTATCCAGGAACCAATCCCAATTCTCCAGGTGGGTAGAATACGAATTTGCTGAAATCTCAGGTATTACGTTTTTATTACCAATGATCAGAAGGGGGATATGGCCAGTTGGTTGAACTTGATATCTTAAGGAGATTAAAGTGGTATTAAAATGACAAAGTCTGAGAACTTTCGTAAATCATTATGTGGTTACTGGCCAAGAAGTCCTGAGTAATTCTGGCCAGATTGTCTATAGCCTTCATTTTTGTGATGGTTGTGGTCCAGCAATAGTATCTGTCTGGCTTAATTTGTAGGGGCATGTTTTTTGTCTATTGGAGCTGGATTTTCTAAATGTAAATATACATATTAACTACTCTTAAATGGCTCAGAAAAAGCATAAGCAATCTGCATTTCTCTGATGTTGCTCACATGCAAAACAAAAAAAAGTTGTCTTTCACAGTGCTGAGTATCAGAGCTTTCCAGAGGCAGAGCTTGAGGTGCGACTTGGGGGCTAACCTATAATTTCATGATAATTATTTATTAATAAAGTGCTGAAGAATTGTGGGGTTTTTGAACTTACTTGGTATTCAAACAAGTGCATTTCTCATTATAATGTGACTGTGATTCTAATACTGTTGATAGATACTGTTTTTAATAATAAACTGGTTGGACAAAGTATAAGGGTGCTTGTCCTTCTCATACTTACCTCTTCCTCCTGCTTTAATATTCTGATTACTGTGTCTTTCTGAATCTGCTTTTGGGAGCTGGTAAAAAGGCAGACGTATCTCAGCTTTGTTTACACTGCAAAAGAGGCAGGTTCAGTTCAGAAGACCTCAGCTCGGTGTCGAATGCAATTACTTCTAGCCTAGCAATATGTCAAACAGCCAAATAGATCCCTGTTAGTATTTTTACATTCCAGGTTAGCTTCCAGAGCTGATGGGTACCTTGACAGAGGTGTTGCTGTTTGCCTTTTGTGATTATTCCCTGCCACTACCCCTAATTGATCCTCAGCTAGATTTGACAGAGTAGCGAATGTTGAATGAAGTTTCTACGGTTCCTATAAAAGTTATTGGTTCAATTGAAGGGGGAGACTCAAATGACTTTGCTCGCTGAGAGAGGTTGTAGTATCAGCTCAAAATCTGCCTGTTCCATTTTAGCCTACTAAGTTGCTGATTCGCCTGTTCTGATTTTTGGAATTAACAGCTTGCACCATTGCTAGGGAGACTAAAATATAGGAGAAGGCATCTTTTGTATGGGATAGCAGATGCATGATCATACAGCAGAACTCTATGGGAAGCTTGGCTTTAAGTATTCTGTTAATTAAAAAAAAAAAAAAAAAGTAAAAATCAAGTCTCTTTATTCAGCCTTTTGATTTACTACTGTTCGTCTGTCCCTGAAAAGGAGTAAGCAATGTTTGCTAGGACATCGATACAATCAAGCTTGGCTCGTAAACTGAGGCTAGCTTTCTTCTTTTCCAGATACCGGATTTCCCTTTGTTTCCAGGACAGGAAAGACAAATGATTTCACAAAAATCAAAGGCTGGCGAGGGAAGCTTCATGGTGCTGCTAGAAATGAAGGTAAAAAAAAGAGAGAGAGAGATCCGTGTACATATTCCAAACGTGTGGCCTTTTTCTTGACCCTCCATAGATCTTGCAATTTGGTAATTTTGTGTGTCTTAATGACATTTTTTTAATATTGAAACTGTCGTGGATAAAGAATTTTTTTGGTACTGCTTCCATGGGCAGAATAGAGATTTATGAGGGAGGAGAGAAACTTACTTTGAGTAAGATGGAAATACATGTATTCTGTTTTATGCGGAAAGCTTGAGTGAAGATCAAAGCTGTAATAGTTTTGGTTTTGCTCCTCAGTTTTGAGTTTACTTGGAAGTATGGCAATTTCAGGATTCTGTTGCCCTGGGGACCCTAATGAACTAGACTAGTTTTTATTTATATGGATGTATTTTAAGCTCTAGGTAGAGTAGATATTCCTTACATATTTGATTACTTTGCCCTGTCCCAGGGAGAAAGGGATATTTGGCAATTTGCCAATTTTTACTTTAGGTTAAGTATTTATATTGTACTTACTGCACTTTTATACAGTGTTGTGTTGGGCTATTCCAGATGTATTGTGGTGTACCAGGTAGGCTAGATGTTCAGGACAAACAAAGTAAGATGCATAGGAGCACTGCTTGTTGGAGGCTTACTGTTTCTGTGAACGAATACACATGTAAAATCTCTACAAAACCAGTTGTTCAGACAGTTTGTTATGCTTCAGAGTGGTTTGTATTTGGCATGCCTGTGTTATACTCTTCTAAAAGACTTGCGTATATATTTTGAGAGAGGTATTTACCTCTTCTGTAGTGTTTAATTATTACAAGATTTGTCAGCTTGTTTTCCATGGAGCTAGTTAAAGTGCTCTGTATTTGTTTAGGTGGCAGTTCAGAAGGTTCCTTGAAGAATCGGTCAGCATTCTGTAGTGACAAGCTGGATGAGTACCTGGAAAATGAAGGGAAGTTGATGGAAACGAGTATGGGATTCTCTTCTAGTGCTCCCACTTCTCCTGTAGTGTATCAGCTTCCCACTAAGAGCACTAGCTATGTGCGAACTCTCGACAGTGTTTTAAAGAAGCAGTCCACCATAATTCCTTCAACATCTTACACGTCCAAGCCTGCTCCTCTGTCATCTACCTCTAGGAAGACAAAGACTCAAAACAGACGGACATCTACAAACAGTAGAGTAAAATCGTCTTACAAGCCTATACTGCCTGCACCTCTTTCTGCAAAGCAGAAACAGAACTCCTCCACATCCGGGGAAAAGGCTGCTAAGTCTGTCTCAAGTAGCAGTTTAACTAACCAAGCAGATAATTTCGTGGTCCCAGCTTTGGATGAAAACATACTTCCGAAACAGATTAATTTGCGCCAAGCATCACAACAGCAACAAGCAGCTCGTCCACCAGGTTTGTCTAAATCTCAGGTGAAGTTAATGGACTTGGAAGACTGTGCTCTCTGGGATGGCAAACCGCGGACCTATATAACGGAAGAACGAGCAGACATCTCTCTATCAACCCTGCTTACAGCCCAGGTAGATCTGTAATAGTTCCCTGCCTTTCTGTACTGTTGCTTTTCCAAAGCTGTGCGCTTACTGATGTTGCATACAGATGCAGAAAATAAGACTGAGGCCGCTAAGGAGCATGACAAAGCATGATGTTCCTTTGTGGTGTACTCTTTGCAGTGAAAGTTGAGAAGGGCTGACTTAGCAGTATGTGAAAAAACTCATTGTGATAATAGCGTGTTGATATGAATCACTAATAATTTGAGTTAACTCAAATTTTCACCATTAAAAATTCTGGTTAATACAACTACTGTTCAGTAACTGCATTTCCTTACTATTTGTCACTCTCTTTCTCAGTTGAAGTAACTGCAAAAAAGTCCTGGTCATGTAACTTGGTTATCACGATAACCTCTCTAAGATGCTTTAGCTATCTCAGATTCCTCTCAGAAGATTTCACATGCAAACTCTCCTCTGTTCTGTTTTTTTTTCAGTATGGATGACAAATTTTCATATGTAAGACATGTAGTTGGGAGGGGTTATTCTAAATGAACTTAGAATAGAAATTTTGCATATGCTTGATGGAATATTACTGAAATTTCGTCTTACTAAAATGTGAAGTGTATACTTACTTAAAACTTTTTTGTAGGCTTCTCTAAAAAACAAACCTATCCACAAAATAGTAAGACGACGAGCACCTCCTTGCAATAATGATTTCTGCCGACTGGGTTGCATATGTGCCAGTCTAGCACTGGAAAAACGTCAGCCTACCCACTGCCGCAGGCCAGACTGTATGTTTGGTTGTACTTGCTTGAAGAGAAGAGTGTTGCTGGTGAAGGGAGGATCAAAACATAAGAAAGTAATGAAAAAGGCTGTACGTGGAAATCTTGTGTTCTGTGGAACACAAGATGATCAGCAAGAGGATGAAGATTTGGAAGAAGAGGGTGATGGGGAGGAAGATGAGCTGAAGCAGAAAGATAAGAAGAAGAGGAAAAGGGTGGAATACAGTGAGTATTGCTGGGCAAAAGTGATTACTTTCAGCTTTGCAGAAACCACCTATCGTGGTGGGCATTTTTGTTAGGAGGTAGTAGTGATGCTGCTTCTAAACCCAGAAACTGGAAGTGAATTTCAAGAGGTCTGCAACATCTGCTTTTGTATAGCTGGCCAGCAAGGAAAAAAAAAACTTTTCAATTTTTTTAACTCTTACCTGATCAGCATTTTGGGCACTGATTAGTTGTTTATTGTGATCAGATAGCTGGAGTTTCTTTTTGATAGTTTAAACTCGTGCTCATCTCTCCAAATATCTGTAAAAACTAAGGATATGAGATAATTACTGCTGTTGCTGTAGGTAATCTTCACAGTCATAGTACTGCTTTCTTTCCCTCTTGTCAAGTGAGTATCTAGAGCTGTATTTTCAGTTGCTGTATATAACTGCATAGTTCATTGAATTCAGCGGAAATACAGTAATTTACAGTAGTTTCAGATCTGGCCTAAGGTATGCTCAGAAGATCGATTCGGTAGAAATTGACCATGAATTTACACTTTCTTACTAGTAGTACTTTTAGCAATAGTTAAAAACAAACACAGTGTTACTTGGTGTTCCACTGGAATAAATTATTTCTTCCATAGAGCTGTGGTGTAAAGTCTGGTTTTTTTGAGGGTGTTTATAATTTTAAGTATACAATATCAATGAAGATCACTAATTCATCAGTGTTTTTCTGTATCTGCTATCACAGTACAAATGAGAAGCTGATTAGCATAGAATAATTTTAATTTTCTTTTCCTCTTTCTTGTGGACAAATCCCAGTCACTTTTGGCTAGAATTTGAGACAAGAAAAGTAACCAGTAGTACTTTCTGGCAGTATGAACTCATGATTGCTGCATGGCTAGACTTCACGCTCAAATAAAAATTTCTGTTATTACTGTGTTTGATCGTGTTTCACTTATAAGTGAGTTGGGATTTTTTTCCTCTTTTTTTCAGCTATATGTGACTCGGAGCCAGAACAGCCTGTTAGGAATTGTCCGCTGTGGGTGAAAGTAGAAGGTGAAATAGATCCAGAGCCAATCTACATCCCAACACCATCTGTTGCTGAACCAGCTAAATCTGCGGCACTGCCCAACCCTGAAGTCTTGCATCATTCTAGCAAGCATAGATCTTCCAGTGGAATGAAAACAGGCAGAGTGTATACGCCTAAACCCAATCCAGTGGTAAGAAAGAGATGCGTTTGTTTTTCTTTGTGTTGAAAAATTAAAACAAACACTGCCAAAAGCTTCTGTGTTGGGACTTTTTAGATGAAATTCGAGATGAAAGCCGAAGATTGACAGCCCATAGGCATGTTGATAAGTTGGGATGAATTGACTGTGTATAAATCTTTAATTGTGTCCATATTCCGTTGAAAATTTACTGTAGCAATATGCAGATGGTGAAAGGTGATTATGATTCACTAATAGCCTTATTTAAAAAATGCAATAATATATGCTATTTCTGGCAAAACGATTGCGGGTTCTGTAATGTTTGTAGAAGTTATTAACTGCATAATGTAGCCACCCTGATTAATGAGTTACTTGGGGGGGTGGAACTGGGATACAGGCACAGTGTTCAGTGGAGTTGTGGCGTCTCTTTTCATTCTTGTTTGAGGTTTGTTGGAAGAATCTGCATTTGCCTCTCACCTTGGTATCTAAAGCAACAGCAGCAGTAGAGGAAGAACAGCAGTAGAGTTGAGTCTAGTTACGTCTGAAGAACGAACATACCAGAGTTGCTATTTAATGTGTACCAGATAATGTTAAACGATATATGACACTTAGGACTTGTTTCCCCACTTAGAGTATCTGAACGGGTTTGGGGCTTTTTTGGGGGGTGATGGTGTTCTGTTCCCCCCATACTGAGTATCTAACTTGGAAGCAAGATGTGCACTGGGGTATGTGATACTAAGAGGGCAGATGCAGCTTGAAATGCTAGACCTGTCTTTTGACTATTGAAACATTAATGCTGAAGTGTTGTTAGAAGGTAAAACTATTTAATGAATGTAATGTGCATCATCTAGAATGAAGATGTTTTCCTCTCTTCCGTTTTTTTTTTTGAGTAGATTCGAGAGGAGGACAAGGATCCTGTCTACTTGTACTTTGAAAGTATGATGACTTGTGCGAGGGTCCGAGCATATGAACACAGGAGAGAGGAGAAGTCACAAAAAGACAAAAGTGATTCACCGAGTTCTAGTATAAAGGTGAGAAGTCACACTGTAACTGGCACGTGTCATAGAATAGGCAGAAGTATTGAAAATGTTGAAATAATTTTCTTCCCCAGAAACACCTACGTGACATGAGGGCTTGATTTACATTTGATGGTGATAGAGCTGTGGAGCATGGAGCTTAAATCACCTAGCAGTGCTGGTAGTCTTGTCTTGTTACTGTGATAGAAATTGTCTTGTCTGTGGAAAATTCCTGGCTGCCAAGTGCGTTGTCGTGTAAGGCTTAAATATTCATTGTTAAGAGAGCTGTTCTAGGATGAAAATTGTAACATTGTCAAAGTTAGCATGTGTTTTATGATTTGGGGTGACAGTATGATGAACTAGTTTATTTTGTGGTGTGATTCTTAGTGTGGAAGAGAGATACACAGGATGAATATTTTTCTTGCATTTCTTTCCTCCTGCAGGAGCACGAACCAGAGCTTCTGTCTCCTGAGAAAGCAGCCTGTGAGATAGACCAAGACACTGATAAATCAGGAGGTAAGAGCTGAGTCTGGAATATAATTTGACCTCTTGGTAGTTCCACATTTTTGTGGGCTTTTTCTGTTGGCTTTATTTTTTAAAAAAAGTTGCAGCTATTGATGAAACATAAGTCCACTTGCTGAGGGAGTTATCACGGTTGTCAATAAAAATCTTATGATGTGTTTACAGTTTCCTGTTTTCTTAAGCAGTTGTGTGTGTGTGTGTCACATGGGAGATACAGCAGGCTAAATATCCAGTACTTGCTGTTGCTCTGAGGTTAAAATGACCAATGTTACAGTAGCTTGTTTAGCTATAAAAGATAATACTGCACAGTAGGTGTGTCTTCAAGAGTGATAATTAGGTACTTGGGAAGGAATGGAGATCACTGTTCATGGTTTGTCTGGGGTTGGTGTGCCCCCCCTTTTTTTTGCTTACTATTACTTTGTAGTTACTGAAGGATTAATAAATATCCAAGTGATACTCTGAGGATGGGATCCTCACATTCTCCACTTAGAACCATGTGGGACAAAGGAATCGCCTGTACTTCATTTAGAGTTGTTTGATGTTGAATTCTTTTAGTTCAAGTTGAAGGGTTGAATTGAAATTTTGCTATATTATGTATACTGGGTCTGAGTTTCTAGTTCATAAAGAAGTAGGCTAGACATCTGTGTTCTTCAGTCTGAAGTGGCCCAAATCATGTTCACGTTACAAACTTTAAAACGAGGCATGTACTAGAGGCATTGTGTCATCCACTAATGAAATATAGCTGCCTTTAAGCTGAATTTTTTCACTGTTGAATGTGTACAACAGCACACTACATTTAAGGATGGGAATGGAAAAATGATGCAACCAGTTGAAAATGCTGGTGAATTGGTAGGTGAAATTAAAATGGCCAGGACACAGGGCTCAACATCCTTACAGTTTTGCAAAAAGTGACATTGGATCTCTAATGACGACGAAAGTTCATGCTTCTGTTATACATCTTCTGCAAAAGACAGTTCTGCTAGCGGCACGTTTGCCCCTCGTGCCATTGTAGGACACTGGTCCTTTTCTGACTCCAAGAGAAAAGTGCCATCTCTTGAATAACCAGCGATGCTTTCTACTGCATGTTGGTGTTGCTTGGAGATCTTTCATCCATGATACTGAAACAACCCAGCTATGTTTAGCTTGTGATGCAACGGGATACAACCTGAGATGGTATGGCTGCAGGGAATGAACAGTGAGAAATAGTTAACATTAGTTTTGTAGTGAGTTTTTGCTTGCTTGTGAAGCTCTGCAAGGGGAAGTGATGCTTTGAGCAGTTCTTAATTGTTGTTGCCGTGCAGCTGAGACAAGGGTGGAGGTGTGGGCAGAATAAAACTGTTTGAATATCCAGGTGATTAAAATGCCATAGTATTGCAGAAACCTATTTCAATTCTTTCTCAGAGAAAAGCTGGTGGTCTTCCCGTAGTGAGGGGGACTCTTCCTCCACCTCCTATGTTCATCACACCACTCCAGGTGGACCAACCAAACTTATTGAGATGATCTCTGACTGCCACTGGGAGGAAGATCACAATAAGATCTTGACCATCTTACCACAGCATATCAACAGTAACGCACCACAGTGCCTCAAAGTGGGTAGCTTCATTATTGAATTGGCTTCGGAACACAAGGCCCAGGCTGAGAAGCACCCTCCTGTCTACTCCTCCAGAGTGAAAATTTCAGTGCCGTCCTACCAGGACAAGGACGAGAAGCCTGAGATACCTGTCTTGGAGACTCTTGATAGCGGAGTGCCGTCATGCAAAAATCCAGACGACCTAAAGTTCTTGCGGGCAGACACATTGGACAAACTGCAGGAGAAGTTGCATGGGGGCAAAGGTTTGCCTTTTTATGCAGGGGTTTCTCCTGCGGGAAAGCTGGTCGTCTACAAACGCAAAGCTAATATGAGCCCCTCTGGCTTGATTCAGGTGGGTCCCTCTGCCTTTACTGTGGAGATTAGATTCAGTTTCATCCGGTATCCCAGAACTCCTTGAAGGGGAGAACACTCTTTAATTTGTCTACCTACTTGTTCACCTGTCCAGACAAGAATTTTTAGTGTCTGGTGGACATTCCTGCCTTTTCATAAGCTTGTCACTTTCATGATTGACTCAGTAACAGGAAATCTGGTTGGAAGTCTAAAATCTGATGGTTTAGCTTGTCCTTTTGGCAATTTAGGTCTTGGTGGCCCAAGTGCAGAATGTCTCTCAGGATCTTGTTGGTGCTTTGGAACTCCCTGCAGATGCATTTGATAGACAATACTTCTAAATAAATGTCTGTTAGAGGCCACAAAAAGAACATTTCCTTAGGAATTGTACACTGGGACAAAACTTTAAAATGAAACTGTAAACATTAAATTGCTTTTGGCTACAGCTTACTGTTAGTCTTTGCTAATAGCCTGTGTCCTCTTTGCAGATATATCAAGGGACTTCATAATCCTAAATTCAAAGTGAGTCCTTTCCCTGCAGATTCATGCTGCCAATTTGGTGTTATGAATTGGTGGTAGGAACTGTAGGGCTAGGATGAAGATCTTTTTCAGTCAAAGGTATTTGTGGTTATAGTAACACCACTTTCAGAGGAGGCATATGAATTAGGAAGAGTAAAATTTATTTTCATGACACTTCACAGATATGGCACCCTCACAAAGAGAAGCTGGTGAAGAGAAAAAATGTAGGGGGAGATTTCTTATTTTTCATAGAAGAAGTTCAGTAAAAAGAGTCAAGACCTTACTTAGTAGTGTGTTAAATATATTGGGCGTTTAGAAGGTATCATCAAACAACCTGAAAGTAAAATGCACCCCTACCAAAACTTCCCATTGACCAGTAGGCCTAAAGCCTGACGTTCATTAAGATGTTCTGTTTCTTCTCTCCTGTACAGCTCTGAATTTGAAGTTAGTTAACTCATCATACCTTAATTACATTATCAAATGACAGTACGGGTGAGAAAAAAGCTGATAAAGCTTTTACAAGCTTTTCAGAGTTTTGTCCCAGTGTATATGACATGTTTTCTTCTCTGATTCTGGTTGTTAATTAGATTGGAGAATTTTATCCAAAACTGTCCTCAAATTTGGGAACCCATTTTTATTCAGAACTGTAGCAGAAGTACGGGGCAGGAAAAATAAGTGCTAGCTTCACTCTATCTAATTTCAGTGATTTCACATGTTCATTTGGACTCTGTTGTTCTGTGTAAGAGTCTGAGTAGCATCTAAAATCTGTATTATAAAGATATAACAAAGTTGTTTAAAGTTCTCCTAGGCAGTAAGGAAACGAGGAATTCCCATTCTGAATTGCAATGTTTTTTTTTTTTGAAAAGGACACTTGGAAGTCCCATGGAATGAAACACCTCTCCAGAGGTGGTGAATTAGCATTCTTTTCACAAAATTTCCCTTTTCCACTTTTTTCAGGTTAATGATAAAAGGTATCCTCAGGCCAAACTGCTTTTGGGACAGATGGGGGCATTACATCCCGCCAATCGGCTAGCAGCTTATATCACAGGCAGGCTGCGACCCACAGTACTTGATATCTCAACCCTCAGTACTGTGATCTCCAAGGTAGCATCCAATGCCAAAGCAACTTCTTCTGGGACACCATCAGTCCAGGTGCCCACAACATCAGCTCCCAAAACTACATCTTCCACCAGCACTACTTCAACCCCCACTGTGACGACTCTGAAAACCCATGTCCCAGCACAGAGACAGATAGGTAGGTTGGAACTTATTACTGTGTTTTAAATTGCGTGAAGCTGAAGTAAAAAGTGAGTGTACAGCATTGCTGTTGATGTCTGTGCAACAGTGCATGCTGCCTTTGGCTGCGTTGCCTACCTAAACTGCCTCTGCAATAAGTAACCTCTATAAAGCAGAAAGTTGTATTTTGGCTTCGGAATAAGATGACAGATGTTGACTTAGTTATTCTATTAGTGCTACTAGAGCATATTTTCAAGAGACAAGGAAGAGTGGATGGAGACACACTGAATGTTAAGCTTGGATTTTTTTTTTTTGAGAGTGTCCTTACAGTGATTTTTAATTGCTTTTCATCAAACATCAGTTTAACTTAAAATTAGTGAAGGATCACTCTAATCTGTGATTCTTCACTGTCAGTTTTTCTGATGATGTTGCGCTTACAATTGGAATTCTTGTGACCACCAAAGATGCATGAAGCAGCAGTGAACGACAAGATGGTCCAAATATGGATTAGTAAAACAACAGGTGTGCAGCCAATAACCACACCGGCCTGTAATCTCATTGGATTTCACAAGCTAAACGGGGTTGGACTTAGTCAGCACTTTTGAGTGAAAGAAAGAGTATTGGAAGAAGCATGAGGCACCTGTGTCTGAGTTGGTACTGAAATGGTTACCCCAGCATGTCAAGACAGGAAGTTGCCTTTAACTGTTACAATTTGCAGGAGTTTAAAAAAGAAAAGAAAAGAAAAAAAAAAAATCTAGTGCCCATCCACATATTCCCACATGTTGGTTAAAGATCTGAAGAAGCTTTGCAAGAGAAAAAGGATGTTACCTGTGTCCTGGCAAAACTTTAGTTTCTGATTGATTGTGTTGTTTCTTTCTGCCTGAATTTTCATTGCCATGTAAGTGGGTGTGTTGTTTTTCTTGTCCTGTAATAAAATTTCTTGTTTTGTGTGTTTATGCAATATTAAAGAGCTGGCTGCGTTTCGTTGATGGGCGAACTGATTTTTGCATATATGATTTAAGTGTTCTGGCATATTCTGGGTTAAAAACACTATATGCATAAATAACAGTATTTAAGTTGGACTTGCTCCATAATCTCTATGCTGTTGTACTCATCTGTAGACATCTGCAGTGATGTAGATGCAGTATTCTGATCCCTTGCAGAGCAAAGGGTGAGGGAAAGGATCTTCACACTAGTGATCACTTTCCATTGGTTAAATTTGTCACATCCAGTCCTCAGTTACACGAATGTCACTGCAATGAGAAGGGGACTTGGCAAACTCCGTCTCCCTCCCAGCCCCTTCCCCTGTGGCGGTGTAAGAAGTGGATACAGTAGGAGGGGGATGAAAACTGAAAAGCAGCGAAAGAGGAAGATCACACAAGCTCTTACAGGAAGAATTTGAGATTCATAAAATAGTTTGAGCCCATTATTTCACTTAGGTGTTTGTTTTCCTGTAATGTAATTAGAATTATCTGTTCATAGTTTCACGATAATGAATAACCCCTGAAGACCTGATTCTTTTGTGTGGCCAGGAAGAAATGCAACAAAAAGCTATAGAAGTGGAATAAAGCAGACATATTTCTAATATGTAAGGACTGCTGTAAAGGTTTCAATTTAATTACAAGGTACAAAGAAAATGGAAGCTCAAATTCTGGCTGAAATTACAGTTATAGCACCTTGTGAAAGTCAAAGAGGAAATACATTACAATTTTGACCTGCGAGTTTTTATTTGCAGCTGCCCGACCCTCGCCTGGTGGTGTGTTCACACAGTTTGTGATGAACAAAGCTGGAGCTCTGCAGCAGAAGATTCCTGGATCGAGCACACGCCAGCCACTGTTAGGACCACAGAAGTTCAATCTCAAGCCTACGTCGATAATGGTTGTCACTCCCGTGGTTCCCTCGAGGCCATCTCCAGCTCAATGCACAGTCTCTCCTGGGGTCATTACAGCCACCACCACTTCTCCAGTTACTGTGGAAAGTACCAGTGTGGCAGCATCTACTGTGACCACTCCTAGCCAAACAAGAGCTAATGAACCTTCCTGCTCTCCTGCTGCAATTACAGTCACAGCTGCTCCTGCAACACAGGGAATCAACACCTGTACTGCTCCCTCATCCACCACTCCTGCTGCCACTGTGAACATAACAAAATCAACGGGGATTGTTGCACCAGTAGTGACTACGTCATTTCCTAAAACTGTGATAACACCACCAACTGTTACTTGTCCTGTTGTCACGACATCCACTTCTACAGTTGTACTAACAACAACTGCAACAGCTACGTCTGTGGTGACCACACCAACTTCCTCTGCTAGCTCTGTTCCGATCATACTCTCCGGAGTTAATTCAAGTCCTTCACTGAATCCAAAAAGAGGTAAGGCTTAGGTGCTTTGGGCTATTATTGCAAATGCTTGCTTTTTTTATTCTGCCTCCTCCGTAGCTAGAATAGAATCTGCAACGGTAGAACCCAATTTAAATATAGATGCACTTGCCTCAGTCTTTTTTCCAAAATAGGATAAGAAATGTAATCTGTTAAGTTGCTTGTTTCATTCCAGTATGAGTCGGTGGAGGAGGAAAAAAATGTAGCTATCTGGTCAGTGACTGCCATGAAATGAGTGGGAAGTATCACATCATTTCTTGGCCCATAGAAATGTATAGCAGAGTTATTGCTACGACTGCTACCGTTTCACATTTGGCATAGAGTCCAAGAACTAGGTATGGGGTTACTCTCTTGTCGTTGACATAGAAGTCTTCTGAGTCACAGCTGAGAAATGTTGATGGAACTGCATGAAAAATACTGCTCTGGCCTGGTTGCTTCTACGTGTGTTCTGTGAATAAAAAGATAAAAAAATGCTTTCAAACAAATTTAAAGAGAGCCAGTGGTTTCCAAAATATTTGTGCTTGTTTGCACTAAGGATAATGCCTGATTTGTAGACTGTTCTCTTAAGCTGGTGTTTATGTAACTTTTAAACTGTTTCAGAAGATGCTGTTCCACAAGCTGCAAGTAAGACTCCCCAAAAGATGTCTCCTGGAACAGAGAAACGCATAGGACCTCGATTGTTGCTGATTCCAGTGCATCAGACATCTCCTGCTTTGCAACCGCTAAACAACACACAGCTTTCTCAGAGGCAGAGGATGGTCCTTCAGCCTCTCAGGAGCCCTGGTGGTATGAACCTGTTCAGGCATCCTAATGGGCAGATAATTCAGCTTGTCCCTCTGCAGCAGTTTCGAGCTGCAGGTGCCCAGCCCAGTGTACAGCCCACCATGTTCCGCAATCCAGGTACAAATTCTGATGTTTCTTGCTTGACTGAGCAATGTGTTACCCAGAAGTTAACAATGTAAAAAGTATCTCTGTGATGCAACTTTCACCTGCTGGAAGTAATCGAACAGAACTTGGTTCTGCATGTATAGTTGAAGAACATAATGTAATTATTCAGATATGATGCAGCTTAAATACCATGTGTCTAAAATACAGAAAGTGCAGTTAATAGCTAAGTTACCAAAATTTGAGAGTTCCGTGCAGCACGTAAAGGGGTCTCTGTGTGTGGCAATGGAGCTGTGTCCTGTTATTATACTGTCAGAACTTAAATTCTGTTGATCTGGCAATTCAGAAACAATTCTTGTTGGAGATTGTCTTAAAAAGAATAAGTCATTACCTGTGTCTTTGAATGTGCTGCTCTGTTTTTGTTTGGTTTGCAAGTTTGTTGGTGCTTTTACAGCAGATACTCAGATCAAATGTTACATTACAGGATAAAATTGCTGGGTTTTTTCCACCTTAGAATGCGAGAACAAAAATAAGTTTGATTTTCAGCTGTCTCTGTAGCACATAGTTGAAGACAGGGTTGGAAGAGTTAGAAATTGCAGGTATCTGACAGAAAGCAGGTAGGATGCTTGTGGAGTGTACTGTTGTACTTCTTTGTAAATAAAACATGTTTATAAACAAAATACACTTTAAATGCATGTTTACTTTCCAGTATTCTTCTATTCTCCTTTTATAAAGAAGCATCTTGAGGAGAGGGAGGCAGAGTGGTGTTGAAAAGCGAGAGGCGAGAGCAAGTACAGCAGATGACAAAACTGTGGGGAGGAGCGAAAATAATCCTGTGCCTTAGTTGAGGTTTGAGCATGAGATGTAGTAAAGAATCAATCAAGAAGTTCATTAAATTCCTTTCGATTTGGGGCTTTTGCTGTACAAGAGAAACTACTTGCCAGCGGTGGTATTTTTTCTCCTTGTTTTATGGAGTTCAGAAACACTGCAGTAGAGTTCATTAAGTTGGAAAAAGATTGTGGTATAATCGTTTAATATTGTCATAGTTTGCTCTGTGTAAGTCTTTTTTGGGGGGAGGAGGAGGAAGAGGATTTTTAAATAGTGGGGGGGGTTTTGTTGTTGTTTTTGTTTAGAAAATCCCCGTTTTCCAGTAGATTGGAAAGTAAAATGCAGAGGACTTATGCAGTGCCTTTTTTGGTTAAAAAGCTTAATGCTAGAACTTACACTAGAGCTGTTAGTTTTAGAGTAGCCACCTCATGTATTTTATTGAGGTGCTGCATATAAATATTCAACATTTTGTATATCTTTTCGCAGTACCAGCTCTTTCCTTGAGAACTTGTGGTCAAATACCTGATTGCATTGTGATCCTTGAGAATGCTGGCTACTTCTAGTACAGTGTCAAATATTAAAACTAAAAGAACAAAATTGAGGAAGTATTAATTGATGTTTTGTTTTCCTTACAGGATCTGTTGTAGGAATCCGGTTGCCTGCACCTTCTAAGTCTACTGAGTCACCCGTGTCTCCCTCTTCCTCTGCGTCTTCTGCTTCCCCTCCCACAAATTCAGCTGGACAAACTGCAGCACCCAAGTTATCCCCTACATCTAACGTAGCCACTCAAGCATCTTCTCTTCTTCCGTCGGTAACAAGTTTTGTGTCACAGGCAGGCACTCTGACTCTGAGGATCTCTCCTCCTGTTGCTAGCAGCCTGACGAATCAAACAGCCTCCGACTCTAAAATAAGCTGCAGCTCAGGTGGTCTGCCAGCTACCACTGCTAATCTCATACCTTTGCAATCTGGTAGTTTTGCTTTACTTCAGCTCCCAGGACAGAAGACTGTGCCAAACTCCATTCTTCACCATTTTGCATCTCTTCAGATGAAGAAGGATTACAGGAAAATATGCAAGAAAGACGACTTGGATGCTGCTCAGCAGAAGGACGATGGGAAGGCTTCACTCTCAGATGACGTTGAAGTTACAGAGTCTGAGATCATAGTGTCAGATAGGAAACAAGAAGATGATGAGTTGTCAGTTAACCAGTCAAATAATGTTGAAGAGTCAGCGTCTGGCACAATTGCACCTGATAGAAATTCCACTACATTAGAGATGGTGGAGAAGGACTCAAAGGTGCTGGAGAGTTCTTGTGATGATAGCTTCTCTTCTCAGCATGATGTTTCCGCAGATGTCATATCATCTGACCATTCGTACATCAGCGAGAAGCCAAATGATGAGGAAGAAAAAGAGGCCTCTGAGGAGAAGGAGGATTCTGTCCATTCTGATGTAGTGGAGGCTGTTTTAGTGAACTCAGAAACTGATTGCGGGTCATCAGACCAGTCTCTAGTTGCTCCTCTGGATAGTGCATATCCACAGAGTCTGGAGAATCAGGAGACCGCACAGTTGAGGAACAATGGGAAGGAACAAATACATGCTGAACAGGAAGAGAAACCAGTAAAAGAGCGGGAAGGAGATGCACAGACACAGGTGGAAGAGGACAACCAGGCAAGTTCTGGGCAGCCACCCAGTCAAAAAGAGCAAGACACACAGCTGGAGAACAAGAAGGAACAGAGAGGGGCTGAACTGTCTCGGAACAAGCAAGAATGTCAGGGTGATGCAGTGCAGCCAGATATGGAAAGGAAGGAGTGCAAGGGCTCTACAGAAGCAGAAAGTGTAAGAGAAGGAAGAGGAAGTATGTCTGAAATCAGTTCTGTAAAAGAGCAGGGTTATGCTTCAGGAGAAGAGCATACAGTCAATACCGAGGAAGACAAAGCAAATGTAGCTAGGCAGGAAGGCAGTAACAACAAAGAACAAGATGCTTTTGATTCTCAGGAAGAAATGAAGATGGGTCGTGATATTGTAACACATGTCAACAGTTCTTGGAGCAAAATATCTAGCATTGTACCCACTTTAGAAAATAGAAGCGAGGTGGCTAACAAAGCTGATACATCTGAGAAAAGTGACTTCCCGGCACCAGAACAGAGGGCACAGGAAACCAGGCATCACAAAAAGGGTTGCGTGTCTGCTGTTGATAGAACTGCTGATGATATGGAAGAGGAAGAAGAGGAAGATGATGAGGATGAAGAGGATGAAAAAACTGATGATTCTGCTGATGAGACGCTGGATGGTGCTTCTGACTTCCCAAGTGAAGAGGAAGTAGATGTTGAAAAAGTGGTAAGCATTTAACTGTTTATGAAGGGTGGGGTTTTGGGGGTTTTTGTTTGTTTGTTTGTTTAAATTGAGCAACTAACATGTCACAACCCATGGATTTGAAAGACACAGTATGATGCTTGTATTCCGGACTTCAGTTTCTTTAGAAAGTCTAGATAGGGGTTCCAAGTGGAAAAGCCTTTTATTTCTTCTTGGTTGCATGCTTTTTTATAGGTAGTGTTCTAGTGGACTTTTAGAAATTGTCCTTTTTTTAGATAATGGGCATTACTGTGAGCAAGCTGTGATAGAACATTGCATGTTGTCTTCCCCCAATATTTACTCAAGCAGCTTGGTTCCTGGTAATAGGACCTACGATCCTAAAATGTGGTAGCGAATCTAGTATTTCTGTTATTTTAAGCTGTTTCCTTCTACTTAATTTTTGTAGCCGTTGGTTAACATTTGCTTTGGGAAGGAAGATTTGAATCTCTCCTTAAATTCCTCTTGCAATTCAGTAATACATTGAAGTAGTATGTGTCAACGCCATCGTTCCATATTCAATAGAAAACAGACTGCTCTGGAAGTCACAGAATAAGTGTAAACTTGTGGTTAGTATAGTTATGTTTAGATTTTAATGCTCATAGAATTTCCAACAAATTTAATCCAAAAATTAAAAGAAAATAATCCCACTTGTAACTCCTTGTTGTACTTTTTTATATATCGCTACGTGACTTAAGAAACAGTGCATTGTTACTTAAAATTTATGAAGTTGTGGTTTTGTGAGTCGGTCAAATGGACATAAGAAATAAGCTAGCCGTTTCTTGGGAGGAGATAAAAGCAGAAAGTTTAAACTGGAGAAGAAAATGAAGGGCACACCAGTTAAGAAGAGGAGAGATTATGTTAGTGTCTTCAGGAATTTGAAAGTATACAGTTCTTTTAGCCCTTTTTGTGTTGATGTAGCCCTCTCAGTTGAAGATCAAATTAGACTTATTTTCTTCTAACCGTATCGAGAGGAACTCACTAAGTCATCAACTCTGGCTTTTAGAGAATCTGTTCAACTTTGAAAAAACCTGACTAATCAGTTCATACTCCAGCTCAATGTTCTTGGGCAAGATGATAGCATCTCAGCTGCACTGAAGGTGAGGAAACTGAAAGCAGATGCAATTTTTGGAAGTTCTTTCAAGCTGAAAACTGAGCTGTTGCTGTCTTGAGTTGGATGGTGACAGTCTGAGGAGTCATGTATCCTTCAATAACTTCAGCAGAGTTATCATCAAGTTTTTGAGAACCACGTTTAGTTTGTGCCTGATACCCAATGAACTTTCCAGACAAGGTAATCTTAGGAATCTATTGGTAAGCCAACAGGCAATATGGTGTCTAGGTCACAGAGTAGCCTGTTATTAGGGTTGATGTTGTAAAGATGTATTTTCTTTTGTCCTGCAAAAGGATGATGAAACAAACAAAAAAAAAAATTATCAGAGATTAGAATCATAGGTTGGAAAAGATCTCTAAGATCATCAAGTCCAACCATCACCACCATGCCTACAAAACCATATGTCGAAGTGCCACATCTACATGTTTTTTGAACATTCCAGGGATGGTGACTCAACCACCTCCCTGGGCAGCCTATTCCAATGCCTGACCACTCTTCCAGTAAGTAAAATTTTGCTAATAGCCAATCAAAACCTCCCCTGACGCAACTTGAGGCCATTGCCTCTTGTCCTGTCGAGTTACCTGGGAGAAGAGACCAACACCCGCCTCACTACAACCTCCTTTCAGGTAGTTGTAGAGAGCAGTAAGGTCCCCCCTCAGCCTCCCCTTCTCCAGACTAAACAGCCCCAGCTCCCTCAGCCGCTCCTTGTAAGACTTGTTCTCTAGACCCTTCACCAGCCTCGTTGCTCTAAGAAATGTTTGTTTTGGAAGAAACTTACTATGCAGGTTTTGACAAATGTGGTTTGGTAAGCCATAGAAAGGTATGTCTTCACCATAAGCTTGCACAAACAGGAGAAAGCTAGCTTTGGTTCTAGAGCAGTAAAGCTGAGGAATGAGATCTCGGAGGACTGTAAAACCTGTCTGGAATTTGGATGAGTTCTTGGTTTGTTAGTCTATGCTGCCAGCAAGTTAAGCTAGCATGTCCGTGCCTAGTGGAGAATTCAGTTTTAAGTGTAAATATAGAAGTCTGTTATCTTTCGCTGGGATGTACTCTTTTATCAGCATAGTGCTTACAAGACAGGCTGCACGGGCATTGTTTGTCAGACCTGGTGAAGTCAGATCGTATAAAGGGACTGCTACAGGATCTTTGTTTGATTAAGCTAGTTGAAACATTGAAGCAAAGTGTGTATGCATGTCCACTAATACTTCTGTGTAGTGGAAATACTAATGACAGCTCTTTCACTACTAGTTTGGAATATGGACTGGTTTTAGTTACTCAGGAAACAGCCATTTAAAAACCTCAGAAAGCTCTAGTGAGAGTCAGGATGATTGCTACTTACCTGTAATAGCTATTACTGTTTCTTTTTAGTACATTTCCTCACACTAGTTTTTATTGCAGTAATGACTTAATTGTTCTTAATCTTGCGTATCGATGTTCTTCAGATGACCTTCTTACCTTGTGATAACTTTGTGTACTTAACATAAGAGGCTCTTGTAGACTCGGTCTTGGGTTTGGTGATATGAATAAAACCTTCTGACAACATCTGTAGAGACAAACTAATCACTGTCAGGACCTGTTGTCTGAACAAATTCAAGTGTGATGGTCTGGGACGTGATATTAAACTCTTGATCTCCAAGGCGTGGTGATTGCTCACAGAATTCTGTTGAGAATGACTGCTTGGCCTGGGCTAGGTCCCAGACTGTGTTGTGAATTGTTCACGACTGCTTGTTGGCTTAAGCCAAAACCATGCCAGGGGTTGTTCTAGTATTTTAATTCTACAGACAGAGTCCCATAGTTCCGTTTAACTCGCTAGTCTAAACATAGCTTCTGTGTCTGGCAAGTTATTTTATTTGAAATGTTGTTAAAACTTGTTTTTGAATTGTTTGTTTTCTGAGCTGAACCTTTAAATGATGAGGAACTATTATGAATTATTATTAACATTGTAAGTTTAATAAAAAGTTCAATTGACATACTTGATGGATGATTTATGTGAGAGATTGTTAGAACTGGTTCTGAGCGTTTGGTACAGACCATGTGTGAAATCTGCAGACATTGTAGCATAGAAGGCAGACCCAGAAATGAGGCATTTGCTTGGACAATGTCTAATGACATCCGTTGTCATCTACCCTTCTTTTTTCTCAGCACTGTCACTGAGGACCCTCTGCCATCAGGCACTTTGCTCTTCAGAAACCAGCAATAGGGGTGTAGGCTTCAAGGAGCAGACAGATAAAAGTAAGAGGAGAGTGCTTAGGAACCAGTATTGAAATACAGAGAGGCATAAGTGCTGACACTTCTGTAGCAACTTTGGAATTTCTGTTTTAGTGCGGGATTGCTCCTCTTGTGTCTCCGTTGCTTAAGATATTTTACTCTTACAAGCTCAAAGGCATTTTGAAGTTTTGCAATTATGGGACCTGTGGAAAGACTGATGCTGGAAAGGTGGGGCTTCCACAAGCATTTTAAAAGTTTTGCACCCCAACAAGAAGGCATGCTAGGCTATGGATAAGGTTCAGCCTGTGATGGGTTGGCAGTTCTTACATAGGAATAACCGTTCTTGTGGCAGAACTTCAGTGGGCTTACTTCTGATGATTGTCACGATTGTGATATTTTTCCTGTTAGGAAGTCAGAGGTAGAGAGGAAAGATTTACCATTCTGAAGCATTTTTCCCTTTGTTGTTAGATGTAAGAATGAAAAAAAGTAATGTTTTTTGTTTTACATGTGTCCACATTCAGGTTTTGTAAGTTTAAAGATGAGAAGTTCTTGCTGTGGAGTGGAGAGTTTTTACTTGTATTTTTTTCCCCATCTTTCATGAAAAAGATGCCACATCTTAGGTTTTGAATACCGTTTTTCTAGCATGATAGCGTGTAGAAAATTCCATCATGAGAACATGGGTAATTACTGTCAACCTCTTGGTTAGCGCAGTGTAACTTGTCAGCACTCAAAAGCTTTACTGTTATGGTGTTTCTACAGTAAGCTAATTTCCTGTTTGTTCCCTCCCTTCCCCCCCCGCCCCAGATTGTCACATCTTTTGAATTGTCCTGCATGTCCCCCTTCCCTGCAGTGTAATGATGTCCAAATGTAGTTTAGACAGAGTAGTCCTGCCCACTGAAGAAAGACAGTATGCATCTCTTGCATGTAGAATCACAGCAATGATACTGTAAAAAATGGAAAAGCTAGAGAAAATATCAGGAGGCTTCCAGCATCAAGGAGGCCTTATGGATTACCCAGGAGAACAGGCAAGAATGAGAAGTGCTCTATGCATAATGAAATACAACTATGTCGTAAATGTGACCTGTTAAAGTTACGTGACCTTGTACCTCTTGCACATGTAATATTTTAAACATAATGGCATGTATCAATTCAGTAGTTCTGTAATTTAAATAGTATCTTTGAATAATTTTTGTTCAGCCAGGTGTTTTTTTTCCTCTGGCTTTATGATGCTTTTCCTTCTCTCATCAGTCCCTGGGGAGGATTAAAAAAAAGGCTGTGGAAGCAGCTATGCTGCGTGTTTACATTACCTGTTTCAGCTCAACAGAAGGTCTGTGTCTGGGGAGATGGTGTAATTTTGATATCTTCTAGCATTTTTTTGCTTTCCCTTTTCTCCACTCTTACTATTTAGTAGACTTTAATTTCAGATTCAAGCTTATGTTCTTCTCCTCAGCTGAGGAATTTTTGGAATTTCAGCATGCTGGATCCTGTAGTACATCCTCTAGTTCATTCTGAACCCTGGCATAGCAATTAAGGACATCTAGAGAATTTGGAAATCTTCAGTTGTGTTTTTGATTTTTCTGCCTTTGTGTGACCTTGTGCAAATGGGTCAGCCTGTGCTTTTCAATGGGTAAGCCACAGAATTGACTTACAGGCAACTTGTATGCATCTGTTGTCTTAAGAACAACATGACTTGATAAAACGCATCCAGAAAGTTGCTCCTGTTCATTAAAACTAGATCTTGACAAAGTCTGTAAGAAGTGAAGCAAGTGTGAGGAGTTGTTGTTGAATAATTGCTGGCTGTTTGCAGAGGTGATATTCTTCAAGTGAGATTTTATATAGGAAATCTTTCTAATATTTCTGTAAGCACGGAGAGAGTGGTTTTACGGGGGGAGGATGCGGCATGGTTTCGTTCCTGTTAAAAGACTGGAAGATTCTACAGGCAGTATTGCATACATGTGTGTATGTATATAGACACTAAAATACACGTACTGTATACACATGCACTCTTTTTTACATATATATGCCCTTTTCCATATATATGTACATATACTCACTGTATACTTTACGAAAGGCTACATTGCTATGAAGTACATGTTGTTATCTATACTTCGCAAAGGTTACATCCCCCGTGTAGCCCTTAATAAAGGAGGGCAAACTTGCTTAATTTTCGTACTGATTCTATTTTCAGTAGATTCTATGACTTCTCGATCACACAGTCATAGGAGATGAAGTATTACACAAGGTTTAAAAACAGTGATAATTTTATGTGGCAACATGATTGACAGTGGTGGTCACTCCATGGTGTCAGTAACTAAGGTGGCAATTGTTATGTTGTTCTTTCAATTTTAGATAGCCCTGCTGTGAGTTGTGGGTTTTGAGGTTGTGTTTTTCCTCTTTTTTTGGCTGAGAAAAGGTTGTGTTTGGTCAGTATGAAGAAGCCAAATACTATATCAATCATTAGGTTATGAGAGAGCCTGCTTCTCTGTCAAAAGGGAAGTTATCAGCTAAGATTTGCTGCCTGGTTATTGAGTCTACTTAAACTAATAACTGCAAATTTCACAGGTGTAGATTTCATGACTAATGGTGGGAAATGTGTACCCTTAACCACTTGTTAGTTATGCTTGTGTGGTAATTTAGACTGCCTTTGTTTGTTTTCGTTATAGTGCTGTATATAGCCTAATCTGTGGTCAGATGAGTAAGTGCAACACTTTCTCCCTTCTAATCAGTTTCTTAAAACAGCAGTGTGAGTTGCAGATAACTTTAAATAATCAGTACCACGAAAAGCATTTATTAGAGGCCACTTACTGATCCAGTGTTGCACACTGCTTTTTATTTTTCTCCTGTTCTGCACTTAGTGTGTTTTGTGATTAACCATTAGCATCAGTTTCAGGTAAGTATTTAGCTGAGAGAAGGAGGAGATAGCAGCTCCTCAAAAAGAAAGAAAAGAAGGACAGAGAGAAGGAAGGAAAGATAGAAGAGAAGAACAGGAGGAGGACGAGATTTGGGTTAGTTCAGGGAAATTGGTGAAACAGAGTACAGAAAGGAAGTATAATTACATTTTCTTACTTAAGGAGGAGAAAAAGTTCTGCATTCTGTAAGCAGACCAAAGATTATCATATAAAAAACTTCAGTAAAAACTGTAATACAAAAAATTGCTTGAATAAGGCTTGTTTTGCTTAAGGGGGAAGGGGAATCACCTGGTACTACGAACAGCCACAAGACTGCTATTTAACTGTTCTAATTGCTACAGCACTGTAGTTGTTCTCTGTCTTCACAAATGGTAGCAAGTTCTCTTTGTCAGGCAAGGATGGAGAAAAAGTGCTTTTCAGAATATCATAAATATTTAAAGTAGTTATTTGGCAGCATTTTGGAAAGGGCCAAAATCATACGCTTCATCATGTAAGCAGTTTACTGTATGATCCAGAGAGGCCTGGTTGTATTATGTTCTGATTGTTGCTATCTTAGGTATGAGAGACCATTGCCAAGGTGATAACTATCTGAACTCATGTCAGAAAAGTGTTAGTTAGCAAAGAGTCTACAGTCATAGGTTGTAAAGGCAGTTTAATCTTCTTTGAAAATGGAGGCAGGAAAGCTCTGCCCCGTGAAAGCTTTGTATCTCACCCATAGTAAAAGCGTAAATGACAGAGATGGGTTTTCCCCTTACCAAAATTCATTTTGCAGGATTGCTAGTGCAAGGAGTTACTCGAGGTGGCAGTTGAAATAACCACCTGCTTAGCACTGTTTATTGGCCGGTGTAGCTGGAGATGTTGATTCTGTAATGGTTGTTATTGTTCTAATGTAATCTCTCTTGAGACTGAAGTGAAACTGTTTTGGCCTGAGCTCTATTGCTAAGTAGATACTCATTTTAAAAAACAAAACAAAAACTGTTCCAGGATGCGTGTGAATACAGTGAGGATGACGAGCAGGTGGACATTGAGACCGTGGAGGAGCTTTCAGAGAAGATTAACATTGCCCGTCTGAAGGCCACAGCTGCTAATATCCGACCTTCCAAACAGAAGTAAGCATCCTTGGAGAGCACTACAGTTTTGTATTTTGTTGAATGAACCCGTTAAACAACAGGTTTAATGTGATGGTAAGATAAAGCAAGGCTTGTGTCAGGCCTTCCTGAGCACTGGTGCTTCCCAGTGTCCGTGGGGATGGGGATGTTGGAACTAAGAACAGATTCGAGGTGTCTTAGCCTTTTTTTTCCTTCCCCCTCGCCTCTAATTAATTTGTTCGTGGGGATGTGTATCTTGTAGTGTAAAATTATTATGAGTGAGTCACCTGCCTTGCTGCAAACTGAATATGAACAGGGTCATCTTGGTTTTAAATGTGATTTTGCACAGTTTGTTTATTCTTGCTGGTGGACTTGTTATTTTTAGGCAGGAGCAGTTATTGGCTTAATCCCTGATCCTGTAAATGAAAGCTCTGTCTTTGGGACTATTGCCCCAGCAAAGAAAGTATTTTCTTACTTACATATAGTCTGACATGGTTGGATAGCTTGGCTTTTTTTGTTTGTTTGTTCTGTTTTTGTTTGTTATTGTTGCTGCCCTTGCATTTATAATGACAAAATGCAAAGTAAAAACATGGCTTACTTAAAGGTGCTTAATGTTGGTCATGGCTATTTCTCAGTCGCACCAAACAAGAGAATGGAGTATGTCGCATCCTTAGTTCTTTGTTTGAAGATTTTTTTGTAGAAACTTCGAAAAATCTATTTGGTGATATTATATACCTCCCAGATAGAGCCTATTTTTGTTTCCTTCAAAGATACAGCTCAACTTTTATCCTTAGATGGTGACGTTGGTATGAATTTTGAAGATCTTTCAGAAAGAGAGGAAAAACAGATGTCATGTTTTGTAAAAAAAAAAAAATAATTCTTTCAAATGTGTGTTGTTCTTTGTTTCCTCAAAGCTCCTGAGATATGAAGAAGCTATTATTATATATAAGGATGGTAATAAACGTGAGGATTTTGATTGGTTGTTCTTGGTGGGGGAGGGATTGCTCTGCCATCTGTATTGAATCTGTGGGGTGTTTTTAAAAAAGAACCAAAATGTAATTTAAAAAAAAATACTTTCTGCAGCTAACAGTCATGGCTGAATTTATTCTTTTTGACATGTAGCAAAATAGTTCGTCTTTTGCACTACGGGATAATTTTACAGCTTTCAGAACAGCTGAATTTTTTCCAGGATGATGGCATTTGAGATAAGAGTTCACTTGTTTGAGAAAGCTCAACAGTATCCTGCTTTCTTGTAGTTATACAAGGAAGAGTTAATTTCAAAGGATAAAAATGAGGAGTTCTAGGCTGTTGGAATGTAGTTAATGAGGATAGTGTGCATGAGATGAATAGTGTTGGGAAAAACTTTTTACCTTTCTTCCAGATACCATGCTCGTAATTCTTCGGATGAAAAATTATCAGAAAAACCTACAAAGGTATATGTTTGCTCTCCTCTTTCCTTTTGGTATCACACCTCCATTTTAAAGATAAACTTTCATCTTAAATGCAACTCTTAATGCGATTCACCTACCTTTTATGTATTTATGATTAAATGCAAGAAACCAAATGTGTATATGGGGGAAGGGGCTCAGTGCAAATCTCATTAAAGAAAGAGGACTGCTACTGGCATCAGTGGGTTTCAGATTCAGCTTTATGTACGGGAGGAAAATCTGCCTTTTATTAATACAATTGCTTAGGTTTTGTGTTCTTGGCATAAATAATTTTTACAGCCACATAAAGTAATGAACAACTGAGAAATATTTCAATGTGTTGAAGAAGACAGTATGTAGGATTATATATGCACAGCACAGGGCAAAGGATTTCTGAAAACAATAGTTTAAATAGTATGTGTTTAGGCAAGTTAAAGATAACGTAGAATCCTTTCAAACCAAAGCTCACTGCAATCCTTCTGAAGCTTACACTGTATTTTAGGGTGGCTTTGAAACCAGTCACTAACTGTCCATGATAACTATCTGCGATGTACTTGATGTCAGGAGCTACCTGCTGGGGTGGGATGGGGCTTTGAGGTGGGATGTGAGCCTGGTGTATGTCTTACACATTAGAGCAGACTGGTACATATGCTTTTGCCTGAGATGGAGATGAGTTCCAGGATGCTCTGACTGCCTCGCCTTCTCCATGTATTCTCCTCTCTGCCCTTGAAGTTAGGGCACGTGGCCATTCCGTGAAAGGAATCGAATGCCCAGCACAAGAGCAGATGCAGTTGCAGCCTTACTGTGCTCAGTCTGCCTGTTTCTGGAGACAGTCTTCAGGTTCCTCTTGAGACCAGCAGGAGAGTAGTCTTTCCACTGATTCACTGGGGTTTGGAGCAGATCTAAAATGATGTAAAATACTATTTAAGTATTAGTCCGTCATGAAATAAATAGCACCGTTGAACAAAACCTGTAAGACTAATGATGAAATAACAAACCTTCAGATCTGTAGAGATGAGTAATTGTCCTTATTATCTGTCAGCCTTTTTGGAAACTTAAGCAAATTCAAAATCGGAGCCTGTCTTTGACACACTCTGTTTATTGGTAGATGTCTGGGGTGATAAGTTTCAATGCTATCTTTCATATTCTTACCTACAGTGTCTCTTGGCCCCAGCCTGTATGTACCAATGAAACAAAATAGAAATCAAACTAGTTTAACTCCAGGGAAGAATTCAGGCATCCTGTATTTGGTGTGATGGTTTCCTTCATTATTAGACTTTTTTTACAAGGAAAGAACAAATTGTGGCTCAAACACACGTGATTTTGCTGTAATCCTGTGTTTTACTTAAGTAGCCTTGTATTGCAAAAAATAAAAGCTTATGAGTAGAAGAGACTGCTCATGATCTTTTCCTTTAGGGTTGATGTGATTATGTTGGTCATTCCTTGTTGGTCAGCATTTCATGCTTATTGCTTGTACTTCTGACACTGAACTTCTGTGAAGACATAACAGTAGAATAGCATGACATGAAATCTTCAGGTTTCTGTAGAAACCTTGTAAATCAGGCATGCCTTTGAACATTGTGTTTGCCATTACATTACCTTTCTTATTTAAACTGGTCAATACGGTTACTTCTCCAGCAGAAACATCATTTCTGGAAAAGAAAGGTGAAGACTCAGGCAGAAGCCTTTGCTCATTACCGCCAGACACACACAGCAAACGAGCGCCGGCGACGTAATGAAATGAGAGATCTCTTTGAAAAGTTGAAGAGAACTCTGAGGTTACACAACCTTCCCAAGGTCTCCAAATCCTACATTCTCAAGCAAGTAAGTATTATGAAGGTTAAGTGAGGAGGAGAATCATTTAATCTGGACAGAGTAATTAAGCTAGTATGAACTCTTTCAGCGAGTCCCAGTGGTACTGTGAATAGAGAACTTCCGTCACCTTTACAGGACTCTCTAGAATAAAACACTATCTGAAAGAATCTGTATTCCTGAAAGCTGAATCTTGATGCCACAGATGTGTGTTTTCAGATTAGTCCTCTCGTTGTTGTATTCTTCGTTAATTTAACTGTGGAAGATTATGTCTTAATTCCTTAGCGGTTTGCTGTGTACATCAGGCAGTTTTGAAATACATTGAAGACTCTCTTTAATGTAGGAGAAGATAGCATTTCATTAAGCATTATACTGACATTAAAAACGTGCTTGTAAAGATGTAAATGACAGGAAACAAAACATCAGCTGCAGATACGTAATTATGCTTATCAGCCATACCTTGAAATTTTGGGATAAAAGATGTTGTTTTCTCTTTAACTTTGGAGGAAGGATGAGAGAATGTTTATTTCTTTTCGGCTAGCATTTAGGGAAAGCTGACATTACATGGTACTTCACATGCTTTCACTGAGTCCTAGTTTCTCAAGATGATGAAAATGTCTGAATAAATTTTGTAAAGATTTCTGGGAAGGAATATTACTGTTTTGTGTATTACTGGTTTATAAATCAGTTCCCTGACACTTTTCTAGGCGTATGAAGAAATCCAAGGATTGACTGATCAGGCAGATAAACTTACTGGACAGAAGAACTTACTGACACGCAAACAAGACGGTTTGATTCGAAAAGTATCCACGCTTTCAGGTGAGACTGTTTTTGGATACAGACTAGCTGGAATAATGAAAGAAAAGGCTTGTAAGAGTGGGAGTGAGTGGAGTAATCCTGTGGATCCAGGTGAGTCATTCACATAAAATTTAGACTCTTGACGCCAAAGACCTGTTAAGCCCCGACTCAGCGATACACTGATCTTGCTGATAAGAACTCCTTCTGTTTTTCTTTATGCCTAAAGGAAGTGTAGAATGATCTCTGTGTGGCAAGCCACAGGCTTGAGTTCCTGTGCGTCTGGTATGCTTTAGTGTGTGTGTGAGGGGAAGTTGCTTTGTTCTGTTGTCAGTCACTGCCTGAAATGGCTTTTCTGCGCGGTGCTTCACAAGTGCACACAGCTGTCTCTGACCAGTACCAAAACCTCTGACTCCTTTGGTCAGCTTTGCAAATAACTATCCTTGTACTGCTTTTCTGGGAACTAGTGTTCATAGTGTCTAGAAGAAGGCAGTTCTGTCCATAGAACACAACTACAGTATATTCTGAGCTGCTGTCATCAAGGCGTTTCAGGACAAAACCATGTTGTATGTATTGTGTCGTTCTGCCTCATTTGGAGGTGTAGGAAGGCTCCAAAATGTGTGTGAACAAACAGAACACTGAATTATTCTTGTAATCTTGTTACTGTCTGGGAGTAAAACTAGGAGACTACCTGTGAAGTAGAAAGGAAAGATTTATGTGAATCAGTTTGTGTATATTTGAGGTACTTGTTAAAAAAAAAAAAGTCTTAATCCAGAAATGTATGATAGGCCTTTTGGGCAGACACTGAAAGCAAGTAACTTCACAGAATAGTTTTCTTATCTTTTACATTCCTAGTGAAGCACCTCAAAACTGATGAGGAAAAAATCCTCTCTCAGGAGGCTTAGTTAAATATATACTTAGTTAAAGAAAGACCATGGTGTTAGCACATAACCGCATTGACTTGTCTCCTGCTTAGTATTTATTTCAGCTTTGATCATGTTAAATTGTGTGCATCTGCAAAAAGCAAGTTATTTATAAAATCTTTTTGTTTGTTGAAGGTTACCATTTTCATGTCAATGGTAATCTGTATGTGGGTTTACCTCTAAATGTCATTTTAAGTAACAGAGTCCATTAGTCCAAGAAATTTCATACCAGGTAAAGGTAACATTTTGTCTCATAGTCATATGTTTATGATGAGGAGAGATGTGTTTTTCACAGCTGTGGGTATTTTCAAGTAGTACTTGTTCAGCAAGAGTTAGTGCTTGTCCAAGCTGATTTCTGCTCAGCAAAGTTGCAGATAAATTCTAAAATGTATGGATGTTTCTGAAGGAAAAAAAATCTTGGAATAAATAGAATCACAGAATCACAGAATAGTAGGGGTTGGAAGGGACCTCTGTGGGTCATCTAGTCCAACCCTCCTGCCGAAGCAGGGTCACCTACAGCAGGCCGCAC